TCTTTCCTCTATATCCACTTAGAGATTGTAAATAAACTGCCTTAAATAAACATATTAAGCATCCCAGTCTGTCATAGAGGGATGTGTTTTATGACTCCCATATTATTTCTGTAACTTGCTTCAGAACCCTTTCCAGCTGATCAATATCCTTTCTTCAGATGTGTGTCTTTGGTTTTCTCTCATCATCTTGAAATATTTTTCCAGGTCCCTGTGGTCCTGGAGACACCCCCATTTGGGAAGTTCTTGTGCTAGTTATATGACTTAGGACTTGACTGTAGTCAGACGTGTTGTTTGGATAAGCCCACCTTACAAAGATCTCCAGGTGGATCTTTATAACTACCATGTCCCATCATTATTTATTTCTCTGCCAATTCTTCTGTCACAGAAATGGATTCTCTATTTTTCTTTTAGTTAATTAATAGAGATATTGAGTAGTTTTGCACTCAAAACAGATTTCTTAGGTGCTTGGTAGAATAATTCACATATAATGATAATCCTCTGTTTACAATTACTTTTTTTATGAGTTGAGTGGGAATTGAATTTGTTTAGCAAGGGTGACATTGATTTATGTAGTGATACTTTTTTATCAAATGCCAAGAAAGACAAAGTCAGCTGCCTTACAGAAACCTGTATCAGTACCATTTACTTTATCACCCAAATTTGTAAACGCATCAAAAACAATGCTGATGGTTTTACTGGGACAAGATATTCCATATTGTCCCTTTTTTTGGTATCAGTCATGTTACCCTCTTTTTATACTTCACCAACTGTTTCCCAGTTTCACAGAACTAATACCAGGCTAAGTAGTTCAGAACCAAACAACAATGCTATTTAGCTTTGTAAATATTTGCACACATCATATTGTATTCTCCAGTGCACTAGAATTGTCTTGGTATTCTGAAGCTTATTGAACAGAAACCAAAATGAAAAATTCAGGGTGGCATACACCTTGCCTAACATGAGCTTTCTAAACCTTAGGACCCTGTGTAAATTAGCCACTTAGGTGTCTTCTGTAGTCTGCTAAGAGGGCAGTTTGCTTTTTTGTAAGGTATATTTCTGAGTAGGTGAGATGAAATGCCAGAGGATGAAATGTCCTTTGGTGTGCTGTTTTGTTTCTCTGTGAAGTGCATGAGGTGAGCAGTTAATTGATCTTTTGGGTAGCTGGTCTGTTTAGATGCTTGCCAGCCTCACAAAGTTCCTCGTTCCTCCTTTTAATAGTCTTGTTCCCAGACATGCATAATAATTTTTATTCATCTGACCAGAATATGTGGACTCTAAATACTTCCTTAGCTAGACATCTGGCTTCTCATTTTTATCCCATTAACCAATACAGACACACTGATATGTCTTAATTATGTACCTCTGTTGAGATATTTTGGTGTCCAGGCAAGGCAATTGATTACTTAGGGACAGTACCTGCAGTCTTTGACTGAAGAAGGAGATTATATGGCCCTTCATTTGGGACTGTTCATACAAAGAAGAACTGCAGACACATTGTATGGCATAGTCCAGTGTGCAGTTCCTAAATTGTTACCAGTGGTGACATCAGGAAGTTAAAGGAGACATAGTAATATTATTCCAGTATAAACAAAAAATTCCAGTATAAAGAATGATTACAAAAGAAACTGAGATTCTATGTATTGCTATTTCAAAAAAAAAAACAAACACCCAGAAAAAAAGACATGTCCTTTTATCTTGATTTATATTTCTCTATGTTAACCAAATTCAGTAACAATGGATTTAATAAATATAAAGGGTTTTTACAGTTTTCCAGACCTCTATATCAGAGTAAGAAATGTCCTACTGGGTCATATCAGTGGTCTACCAAGCTTAGTTTTCTGATTCCAGCAGTGCTAGCTGGAGACTGTATTTGGGGAAAGTACATGAGTATTTGATCAAAATAGGTATTATAAAAATCAGTGTTGCCATTATTAACCAAATCTGGTTTCTTGTGGGCCACTATGGGAAGGATTCTGCTAAGGCATTTGTCCTACTTGCTATTGAGATGTCTCCTTTTGGACATTTTGGAAGCACAGGGACAATCCCTTATTGTTCTTCAAGCTGTTGTTCCTGGAGTCATGGGACTGTGTGCTTTCAAGATTTGTTACGTGGACACATCCTCATGACAGCAGATAACAGATGGAAGAATTGACCCCTTAACAATTTCAGAAATCAGAAAATGAACAGCAATGTTAGAATTTGAAATTGTCTCGTTGTTTTAGTCCTTGGCTTTTGTTGTATGAATGCTTAGCACTGGCTAGTGGTTTGGTTAGTCCCTCTGTGCCTCTGCTTCCTGATTTTAAAATGCAGAAAGTAATATCTCCCTCCTTCATGGGAAATTGTCATTATGAATATATTAAAGATTATGAGATGTTCAGATACTGAGGAATAGGCTCTATCCCACTATCTGATCTAGAAATATGTAAAATACAGAGACTTCCAAGAAGTGGCTGGAATCTCTTTTTAAAGGGAAAAAAATTCCATCTGAGGAGGTTATAAGAGCACTGGGAAAATGATCAAAATGTGAGCATGACCATTACAAAATAAGAATGTGGAGACATCAGAAGAAAGATTAAAAGGAAGCTTTAAGCAGGACATTTTCACAGATGTGGTTATAAGGGAATCACATGGGAGTGGGAGAATTCTGCCTAGAGCTGGAAGACCCAGTGTGGATGGACATGTCTTTTCTGCTTTCAAATTCCAACATCAACATTTACTGGGCGTGTGGCTCTGAGTAAGTCATTCCATGTATGAGGCACCATCCTCTCCACTGGTGGCACAGGGGTAATGGACCATGACAGGGAGATGTGAGATTACAGATGGGGAGATTGCATGAACTGATGTCTAAAACATTGTAAGCTCTTCATGGGGATATACTAGAGGAAGATCAAAAATACCACCATTTGTTAGTCATAACATTGACTAGAAACATTTGGAAGAACATGGACTCTGTTTTTGTTTTAAAAATAGAATGGATATTATCCTTAACGAAAGACAGAGAAGTGACTCAGGGACAGTTGTTCTGGTGCAGGGGCATATCACCCATCTGATCCCTGCAGTGCAAGCAAGAGGTATCTGCTATCCTCTTTCATAAGAATCAGTTGCCAGATCTGGCTGTGCCTCAGACCAGTCCTGGACCACCTGAGGATGAACAGTCTTTTCAGTCTTCCTCCTTTGAGAGGAAGAAGTGCCAGGTGCGATGTGGCTTTTGGAAGGTGGGAACCATGGAAACTAGACTGAGAACAGACAGTGCAATTCCCCTGTTCTGTAGGGAGACATTGCCCATGGTTTCTGCCTTGTGGGCAGTGTTGGAACAGGCAACATGTGCTGGTAAGCACAGAGAGGACATTGCAGAGCACCTGCAGTGTCCAGACTTCAATCAGGCAGGTCGGGATTCATTCTCCTCTCCTTATTCTGAATAACCAAAACATGCCTTCAGCTGCCATTTCAAGACACAAACCATGAGTATCTGGCACCTGTATAAACCATCTCACTGAATTAAAAGAACCAGAGTGTATCATAAAGACCTTTAAGCAACCTGTTTGTTTCCAGGTAATTGAGAGGCTGTCTTGGTGTTAGCCAGGAGTTTCTGGTCTGGATTTCAAGCATCTTTCCTCTGTCTGTGACACTATTGCTTCTTTGTCACCTCCAATCTCATTGTGGTCATCTCACATTTAATATTTAAACTTGGCATTCCTTGGGCAGGCCCATTTTTTTTGTCTCTGTTTGCACACTGGCTAACACAGTGGGGTACTGGTCCATGACCAGGACTACTGGGCACTATGCTAATGATTATAATGGCAGTAGTTAATAAAGCTTTGTTCTTTGATCTCTGGGCTTGCTGAGGCAGTCAGCTGCTGTAATTGTTCTCTGCCCTAGGGCTGAGTGTGTAGTCTGTTTGCTCTTTTTGGCTATATCTGTTGGTTTGATCTCAGTGCCCCCTCCAATATGTTCACCCTGTCTTCAGACTGGCGGACTGGAGTCTCTAAAATGGTTTTGAGGGCAATTAGCCAGGCCGCCTTTGGATCCACTCCTTCCACTGGGAATAGCTTGTATTTCCTTGTATGTTCTACTGCTAGTGTTAACTTTCTCCATGCTCACACCAGCTCCCAAATAAGGTGTTCACATTTCCTTGTTGTGCTGCTGCCTTGTCATGATATGGCACTGTTGTTTACACTGATAAATATGTGGATTATTCATAGGCCACTTGTTACTTCCAAGTCTTTATATCCATACACAACTTCTGGGCTGACTGGGGATTTCAAGTGGAGAAATCAGAAGCAATAAATATCTCTGAATGACTATCCTGAACATGTCAGGTGATCCAAGAAGGAAATCTGAGAGGATAAAATGGTGTGGATTTGTGTTTCATGTCTCAAATCATACATGCTTGTACATTTTTTTTTGGGGGGGGGGATGTATTGCCAGGGAAAGTTGTATGTGCAGTCCTGGAAATGTCAGTGGAGATCTCTCTGCAGCCTTGAGGGAGGCTTGTACCTTGGTGGATAGAGGGAGACTTCTTCGCCCCCGAGCAAATGGCTTCTCCAGAGCAACTTGCTTTACCACTTAGTACTTAAATTCCTCTACAGAAGTGATAAAAATTTGTGCTTCGCTCATCCTTTTTTATGACTTAAAAATTAATTCTAAGGCCATTGCTAGTTCCTTGACAATTGAAGGGGCTCCCATCTAACTATCCTGCTAGATAGCTGAACTTTATCCTGCTGATATCAGCCATGCTGCTAAGGTCTGAGTGGTGTCACTGGGACAAGCCAGCAAAAAATATTGTGGATATCTGAGGTCCTAAAAAGATGATAGATAGGTGTGGCCTGTTCTCCCCAGGAAGAACTCTTAACACTTTTTGCAGAAGTGGAGTGGTGCCATCTGCTTGGAATGTTTCTGCAGGTGTGATACCGTTTAGATCTCAATATACCTGTGTGCCATCAGAAGACAGAGTGTGAGGAGGTAAGAATCTGGAAAAATGGGAACTGAAACCTTCTTGCCTTTATTCCAGACTCTGTCAAAATAATTTCCAAGCCACACAGAGCAGCTGCAATACTGCACAGGTCTAACATTAAAGAAGAAACTAAACTAGTGAGTCACTCCAGGAGGGCTGGACTGAGGCAGCAAAGTTTGGAAACTTCATCTCTTCATCAAAGCCACAGGAGTCCACGGAATGGCCTGGACTGGCAGGATTAGAAATACAAGGGTGTTAGAGAACATGGCAGGAGACCTAACCCAGATTTGGAGACCTGCCTGAACAAACACCTATGACGGAGAGCTGAGAAATACAATATTTGTGCTTGTGTGAGAACCAGCTGGGTGGAATAGTAATTATCATCTGCTGAATTGGCCAGAGCATGGTGGAAAGTCAGGACAGATCTTTTCTAGCTGGAGAATGTGACCTATCAAAAATGATTGATTGTTTCTCAGGACTTGCTAAATTTTCCAGGTCATTCAACATCACTCCAGCTGCAGCAGTGGAGAGGACAAAAACATTCTTGCAACAAAATTGTCTGTTCACTTTGGAGTTCCAGAGCAGGTTATATCTGACACAAGGTTTCAATTTTCTCATGAGGTCTTTTGAGGCATTTGCAAGCACCTTGTTAAATCCAGGTCCTATTTTACTTGGGGAAAATGTTTCCTGCAGTGAAGACAATCAAACATTTCCTTTCTGAATTCTCATACTCCTATCCTCTCCTCTTGGCAAAGCAATCAATACCTCTAGCAATGGATTCAGCCTTGCAGATGAACTGTGGGAAGAGAGCTGAGGCCCAAGCATCTCACTCTGCCAGATCCTTGCTGGCTGGACTCCTTAAGTCTACAAAAGAAGGAAGATCAACATAAAACATCTGAAAAGCAGAACTTGGAACAGTCAGCTTCTTCTGAATACTAAAATCCCAAGAGTTTCTTTTCCAAACAAGACAGGGCAGTTCAGGGAAGAGCCAGAAACTTTCAGTTCCATTTTATTAGTGTGTTAGCAAGAGTCACCCATTAGCTCATTCTCATCTTTCTGCTTCACTTAATGGATTTCAGATACATTCTCATGTCTACTCTGAGACTAACACTGACCCCTTTTGATCCCTAGCCTGTCCTCCAGATCCATTCCTTGCTGCTAGGAAAAGAGAGATGTCTTCTTGCAGTCTTGGTAGAAATAAAGGATCCAAGTGCATTTAAATGCTGGTAAGCAAATGTTATTAAAGGGCAGAATAAACCCTGATGCAAGGTTACACCATTGTATGTAGAGCTGTCCATTCTTGTGCTGTATTGATGTTTCATTCTCATTTTCTTTTGTTTAATGAAAAGTTCACAGTCCTTCCCTTTTCATAAAGGGACTGCAGAATGCATTATGAACATTCAGACTGCCTGCTCAGGGAATAGTTAATGAGCACATAATAAACAAGTAAGAGCTTGTGTAAACAAAAAATAAAGATAATTCTTTATTCACCTCGACTACAGAGTCCTGCGTCTCTGAAATCTTGGCAACCCCCAGACTCAGAGTTCCTCCCTCCACCGGGATGAGACATTAGCTAGTGTATCAAGCAATTACATAGGGTATTTTTTTCTGCAGAGCTGTGACATCATGCCTGGCAGCTCCCCAAGGCACCAGATCCAATTACCTGAGTCACCAGCAAAGGGAAATTGCCAAGGGGCTGTCACTGAAATCAGCTCTGGTGAATGCAAGAGCAGAAAAAGCCAAGTGAAATGGCTGACAGCAGACAGGGGGAGGAAGGGGGGGAAAGGAGCAGCAGTAGTTCCTTATCAGAGACACGGAAGGAGAAATGGATAAGGAAAGGATGAAAAGAACAGAAGGAGAAGGAGCTAAGAAAAAGCCGTAGGGTAAACTCTGTAAGGGGAATTTCCAAGTATTCCCTGTGTCCCACATAAGGAATGATCGGAGCCACTAGATTGACACAGGTTGAATGCTCTTGGAAGAGTTTTTTGGTATGTAATTTAAAAATTAATCTTCACTGTCAATGGAGCTGATGCCCTTTTCTTTTGTGATCCCACCTGCAACCTCCTTTTTCAATTTGCTGCATTTTTCAGCTTTCTGCTAAAGCTGTTTTCAAGGACTGAGAAACAGACCTCGTCAGTGCTTGCTGTTCCCTGCCCTGGGTTATGTTCCCTTTGCATCTGCAATATCTTCCTTGCCTGGAGGAATTTGCAAGGAGTACAAGGTTCCTCTGAAGCTGGCACGTGGAGCCTTGTTTTCATAACCAAGCCTCTAGAGGCTTCTGTTAATTACTTCACCAGAATTCTTATATATAGCAGCAAAATGAAATTCCCCCAACACGGTGAAGAAATATAGGCCTCTGTTGCCTAAGGAGCCAGCACTGAAGTGGTGAGTTTAACATGCACAAAAGTATACCAACAGATATTAAAGCCCAGGCATAAATAGGTTCCCTACACAGATCACATTTGCAAATCGGGAGGTGCTCAAAGGGAGAATTCCACCTGCATGCGGCATAACCAGCTACAGTCACGGAAGGAGGTTTTATGTGCTGGACACAGGCAGCGCACGCACACAGCATTAGACAGAAACACCAGCACATGTAGATGTATCAGGTCAGATGAAGAAAGAGAGTCCATAAACCACAGAAATACACACTGCTCACAAACACAGATTGAAGTACTGTGCACACACAAAAGCTATTAAGATGTAGATGCAGCCTCATTAATCTGAGCTGTTTTACAAACCTTATTCCCTAGCTTTCATAGGGGATTTAGGTGATAAATGAGGCCATTTTGAAATCTGGCAAAATGCCGCCTTCCTCAGAGCATACTACAGAATAAAATTCTTATATAATGTGTAAAGCACAAGGGGGAGGGGGCATCTCCAGGAAGGAACACATGTCTGGGCGTGTGTTTGCATGTAAACTATTAGCTTTATCTCCACTGCAGTGCGTTTGTGCAAGGATTCTGCATGTCTGTGGTGTGCGGGGGGGTACGGATGTACTGCTGAGGCTATGTGAACTGATTTGTGCATTGGATAGGAAGAGAAGGGACTTTGAATGTGAATCTTATACCTGCCCCCATTCCCAGGTTGGAAAACTTGCAATGACTGACCTTCAGGGTCTACTACAAAGGTTATGGGTTAAGCAGGAATAAGGGCCTTAATTTATTGTGGGTCGGTTGGGGAGTTGTCTAGCAATAAAGATATCTTGTCAGCATCATGACCTTTGTTTTGTGTTTGTGAACTTCTGCTATCGGTACCCTAGGGGTTTAGGAGAAATGAAGGATGTGAACAGATATATGGGTTCGTTTATGGTATGACTATCTTGTCATTAATTGTGGAGCCATGTGTGAAAAATATTTACATACATCTTTTCCTTTCACCTCCTGCATTAACATCAGAGTTACAGACACTCAGTAACTTAGCAATTAGTCTTTATTGAGGTTGTCTCTGGCAGTGCAGACCCTCAGGCAGCTTTGAACAGGTGCCACTGACAGAATCTTCTGCAAACAAGTGATGCTTCATCTCCTGTGGACTCATGCCTTTCTCCCTAAATTGTACAGCAGCCCATGTCATCTCTGCATCTTTACAACACCCCATGTGGGTAGGAGACTGCACATATGCAAGTTGCCTGTGTGCTGACTGGGCACCAGTACAAGCAGGCTGACTGGTCAGCTGGCTGCTACCAGAGCACAGAGCGTACCGCTGTTAGATTCTGCCCCGCTACCCCTCTGTGGAGACACTAATTTGGGTTGTAGTACTTGATCCAACCATTCATTTTCATGAAACTTATTGCATGAGGTTTTTCCTGGGATTTAATTGCCTGAGGGTTCTGCGAATTGGACTGCAACTAATCACAGTGTTAAAAGGGTAACAAGGAGAGAGGTGTGTAGGCAGCAAACTCACATAAGCTTTCTTTCCTTGGAAGGTAGTCTAAAGAAGAATATTTACTTCTCTCACCAAGCAGAATTTACTTGGCTTAAGACTGAAGTTAGGCAAGATTCAGACCTATGACACCAGCAGTCTTTGAGTCTGATATCTCCCTGCAGGTATAAAAAAAAGACAGCTTTATCCTGTTGGAAAGCTATTTCCAAGGAATTTTTTTTTTGGGGGAGGAGTTGATTTATTTCTTTAAGATTACCTCCCCCCACTCCAGTTTCAGATAATCATTTCCATGTCTGAAATAACTGACCTATATAATACTGTAGTCTGTCTTTCAGCAGTTTTCTCTAGGCATACTGTCCTAACCGGATTTGTGGAGTGTATTTGCAGAACACAGAGGCAAACCTGAGCTAGCTTTCCTTGGGTTGACTCAGGTTAACCCACTGCTGCTGGAGAAACGTGATCAGCATAGGTAGCTGCCTCAACAATTACCCCATTCCCAGGAATTCCTGCTGCATCTGCAGCAACCCATCCCTCTGCGCTTCCCTTGTCCTCCTCCTCATGTGTGCTAGGTTAAAATTAGTCCTCTTGCATTTCTCTTGGGCAGAAACATGTTTGCCTTCAGCTGTAGCTCCTGTTCTGCAGCTGCCAGGGCAGAAGGCAGGGTGCCGTGGCAGGGTGAGCGTGTGGGATGCATGGGGCGTGCAGAGGTCAGTGGCCCAGCCGGGCACACACCGTCTTCCATGTGCGGAGCGGCTGCTCAGGGCCAGCACTCTCATCTGTGTGTGCATAGAGCGATGGCCCAGGGCACATACCTTCCATCTGTGCATGCCTGCAGTGAGTGCACAGGCATGTGCCTTCCACCTGCCTATGGGTGAAGTGGCTGCTTGCTGGGGACCACCTGGCATCAAGCACATTGTCAGAGCTGTGGTGGGATCAGGAGGCTGGTCCTGGACAGATATTCTTGCTCCTCTCTTTTTCCTTGTGCAAAATTTTTTGGTAAAAAAATGAACATGTTTAGGAGCAGCCCCAAAGGCAGTTCAAGCACACAGATCTATGATGTGTGTTTACAGAATGGACTTAGTTGCTGGGTATATCAACAGCCCAGTTCCAGAAGGGACTGTGGTACAGTACAGAGACCCTATAGCCCCTCTAACATCCTGCTGGGAGCGGTCTGGCTGCAGTGGCACTGAGCTCGATTCACAAGCATTTTGCTGTGCTTGCTTTGTCATGTAGGGTTTGGTTTTGTTTTGAATCAGACTGTTCATCACACATCTCTTCATTTGAATTCAGTGTCCCCATTGTAATGGCATCTGGATCCTGAATAGGTCCTTGAGGTGCCGCTACTGCGACAATAATGCCAATAATGATAATAACTGCAAGGGGAGGATCACAAGAGCAGCACAAAGTTCTTGCTTCTAGCCTTCAGATGGATCAATACTCTGACCTTCGAAGTCAAGGCATATTTATCTACTGAATATATTTTTAATACTTATTTGGAATTTTAATGTGGTTTTATACTACCCCTCTGCCACTTCAGCAATTCGTTTGTGGTACCAAGGTATCTGGGTGGCTTAGCAAGTAGAGGCATTCAAAATAGCCTCTGTAAAAGGTTTCAGAAAGCTTCGCACTCTTTCTAAAATGGCTGCTCTGTAGCACACGTATCTTAGAAGGATAAATGGTGATAGGTGCTTTGAGATTTGTCTGCAGTGACCTGAATGATTCATTGACAACAGTGGTGTGTGTGTGAGTGAGTGCAGAGAAAGCTGTGCAGCTCAGCCTGTCTGTGAGCCTGACATTGACCAAGGAGCACCGTGCTGTCTCCCTGTGCACAAACCCCACTTGCAAAAGCCCCAGAGCGTGGCTTTATCCCCCCTGGCCCAGATGTCAGCCAGGCTGGTGGGTGTCACATAAGCAGGACCCTGTCTGGGATACATCCCGAGCAGCTGGGCTAAGCTTCAGCTGTTGTGATGGTATGTCATGATCTGTGTCCCATGGGTGCCTTATCTGCAGAGGATGCTGGTCTGTCTCCTCTATCTGCTACTTCAGTTCAAGCAGCTTCAGAGGGGGAGACAAAATGGATGTTATGGGTATTTACATATATCCCTATTTATATGTGGCATTTTAGACATAGATAGTGTACAGTGCAATGCAACCTCTACAAGCATAAATGGAGCCTGCTTTCAGCTTCAGCCCGCACAGCAGCACGCACTGAGCCTTTCCTTACAATAGTGCTGGTCCTCGGCTCTGGTCAGAGTATGGTGCATTCCAGCGAGGAGTGAGATTTCACAGCTGAACCCCCTGAGGTGGCCTTGTTCTCCAGCCTCCTGTTGTTGCACAATAAGGGATGGGGTGTCTAACCGAGCCTGCAGCTCTCATGTTGCTGGCAGGGAGTGGAAACGGCAGCAGCACGATTTCTGATGAAATGTACCCCATGACCTCTTCTGTCCAAAGCAGGAAGCCATTCCCCAGGGGCCTCCTGCCATCTGCATATCCCTGGGCTAGCAGGGAAGTTTTCTGTGGTAGGCTTGTGACCCCCAAAGTGGGTGGGTTTTGCATACAGAGCATTCTTCCTCCTTTTAGAGGATGCAAAACGTGTGCCAGGAGCTGGGTCTGCAGCATTCCCAGGAATACAGTGTACATGACTGTGTGTGTGGTAGTGGGAGGGGAGGCAAGGGGATGGGAATGG